TTTGAACATAGTGCTACTAATAGAGCGGTACAGTATGTTTTGATATTAATGGTTTTTTTTGTAATTAAACGGCAGCGGTCATGGCACACAGTGTTTGTCTTATTTGACGAATACAACATATGTAAAATACATTGCATGAAATTCAAACATGCCATACACCAACCAACCTTTAACTAAGGGAAGAAACCAAAATCAAACTGGGCAGTTTGCTGCGGGACTCCGCTAATGCCTGAACCGACACGGCATGGCACGGAAATACCGTAGTTTTCCCGAACCGGAGCTTCCCCAAGAGTAGTGATTCACACTTAATTTGAGGTGTCAATTGTTCACAGGTCTCGTATGTGCGTCAGTTCGCCGGCAAGACCGGCGGTTCCCCGTACAAAAATATGAGGAATGCATTTTATAACAACAGAAATGTACATCAAGGGAAATTAGTTGGTGTAATGTAGCAAATACATTATTATGTAGTGATAATAAAACTTTATTTATGAAACAATGTCTATTCACAGTCCCTCTGTGGTATATTCAAATTTGTGACTGTCTAAAAAAATATGCTAATGAACGTTTTTAAATGTATATATTCAAGTTCATGTCATTAAGGTTTCCTGCTTTATTCTTGCCTTGTGCTTGATTGGTAAACTACATTTCAACTTTCTTAAAATGGAGTATGACTGGATGTTTGAAGATTGTTCGGAAAATACTGTTTTTTTAGACGGCCCAGACTGTGAAGAAGTCGAAAATGCCCTGACGTCAACAACTGCACGTACGTGCAAGAAAAGTCTTACGAGAGGTGGCAACCGACCAGGCGCTGAGCAACCAAGCTTGTAACAGCTATACCCCGACGCTGTGACTACATTCATTTATTGAAGAAAATGGTTTTGAAGCACATCGTAGGCGAAGAACAACAACTGGTAGCAGTGGTGTGACGAGACAACAAATACGACAGGCTCTGTACAAGAATGACCCCTCGTTGGAACAACGAAAAGTTGGATTGTCAACTATTTCAAGGTGGATGGTTGCCCTAAACAAAAAGTTCAAGGCAGCGAAGTGTTATACTGGTGAGATAGACGCAAAACTTGTACGTGGATCAGCTAACAATTTTAGAAAAGAAGACAAGAATGCACATTATTATTTTTCGCATGTTAAACATTGCATGGAGTTTTCTGCAAAATATAGTGATTCTTGCGTGGTTATATCATGCGACAACATGAACAAAGTTTTTACTATATGAAACTGCCAAGCTTTGAACAGTGTTATAGTGCTAACCAGCGTTTATATGGCGACTACAAACGAGTTCATGACCTCACACAGAAGGCCAGCGCGAGAAAACTAAATCAACCAGAAAACGCCGACATATTTAAGGGAATGAAAATTTATGAAGCGAGGAACGATTATATTTACAAAGTGTGAATACCCTGAATGGGACCACTGCAACATGTATCCCATTCAAGCCGAGAGAGCGATGTCATTTTTAAAACAAACTGGATTACCCTCTCCTTCACCGGCAAATAATGAAGACGCCCAGTTTCTTAGTTTTATACAAGCGTCGAACCTCCCGCCGCTTGCCGTTTCAAACAGTTACATGCCGAAATTTATCAAACTCTGACTTGGCGCTTCCAGTAAATGCCCATCATACATGTGTATGTATTTACATTTACTGCTGACAAGATACGACACACTTGTATATTTCATCCGCGAAGATTAAGTATTTTGGATCCGGGTCAAATTGCAAATATTTAGCGTACGCGGGTGGTTTATTTTATTTTGACTAGGAACCGGGTCGAATATTCACATGAACAATGAGCGCCGGCTAACCCCGGAAATGTGCCAGTGTTGACGGGAACTCTCGGCCGGTCAAGGAGCTTCTGCTGACTTCCCAGGTGTTGTCGGAGCACCGCGGGAAACCGCCCAGTTTGATTTCGGTCACTTCCCTAAATTGCTTTACAAACAAAGGCAAAATTATGAATTTAAAAACAGTTACAGTCAACGAGCATCTACAGTGGTTCTGAGAATCATGAGAATTATAAGTCAAGTCAGCAACTTTGCGAAACACTGTTTTTTTCTTGAGTGT